AAAAAATAAGAAGGCAACAAATGAACAAAATGAAACCCATGCATGCTTGAGTCTCATCAATGAGGCGAATAGCAAAGTTGCCCTTTGAATGGACGCTCCAAAAAGAAATGAAGTCTCAGAAATCTGAGAACCCCTTGCAAACAGCCATCACACACAGCTAAGCATCATTGCTGTATTACTATGTAAAATGATACAAATGCATATAAGCTTTACTGCGCTTCTTGTCTTGTGCCAAGCATCAGCAAAGTCACAATGCAAGGTGGCTCCATGGCAGGAACAAACCCCATCGTGGCTTGTCAAGGGCGCCTGTCTGATTCTGTCTGCTTGGTCCGTGTGCCCACTCTTCTGGTCTAGCAGCCTGGCAACTACAGTACTACGTAGATAGCTTCCTGTGCAGACTGTCGGCAGACTACTGCTTGGGGTCTAGTAGTCCAGTGCCTGAAAAGGCTCATCGTCATAAAAAAATAATTGTGGAATTGAAAACATTGAGGAAGAAACAACCTGAAAATCATTGTGTGATCACCAAACAGGTTCACCTGAGTTCGTGCCGAACCTGTGTCTCAATGTCTCAAAGCTGCGTCTCGTTGGCGCAATTTGCCAAAGCGTAGGATTCGAGCTGCGCCGAGCAGTGCAAACTGGCTGGACTTTTTGCAATCTGCTCCGCCTGCTTGTTTGTGGTGAACATAATTCGCTTGTTACCATCGCGTATGTAGTCTACCTTCATGGTGTGCTTTCATGGTGTCAATTTGTTCCCTGGGATTTGCTGATTTGCGCGGTGAAGGACACCCATTTCGCAATAGATTATCACATATGATTCGGTCACCACACATTCGCCGAAACTCTCCTCCCAAATGTACCGTGGCTTTTATGAAAGTTAACAGCAACACATACAGCCGGCGTTCCTCCAGCCATCGGCCTCACTGGTTCGCCATCACCATGCTGGGTTGCGCCCTGAGGGCATGTGTGCTGGTTCTTCGTTTCACACTGCTCACAGTTCCTTCATACTCAGCACATTAGTTTAATTTGGTTGCTATGTTACACATCTTATCTAGTGCGTCGGTGTTGTTCCGTTTCAAAGCGGAAAAAATAACATGGATTTTGGCACGTCAAGAGCCACACCTTGCTACCCCTTCAAGGCTCAGGATCGTTTAGCATTCCAAGCCATCTACCTGGCTGAATCATGTGGACCAAGAAGAACCTGAATCACAAATGATGGAATGACTCGTATCATCGCGTCAGCAAAACTGTCCCTCCAAAGCAGCCATCAACAAAGTCCACTAAGCATGCACCAGTGATGAACCTTGTTGCCAATTGCTGAATAACTCCCACAAAAGAGATGTCCAACATTATGTGACCAATTATTGAATTTGGTTCAATGCAAAATCTAGGAACCAAATCATTAGCGTGAACTATCCGTCGGCCTAGCTAGGAGCGAACTTCTCCTACGAGCTTACTCCCTTACTCAATTAAGTAGTAGGCGCCTACTTATATCTCAAAAAACAACAGTCACAAACGGGACTGGACCAAGATTGGACTCGGAAATGGTTGGACGTTGCGAGTCCATCACTGCCTTATATGTTTCGTCTCATGGTCCACCAACAGCTGTTCTACTTCGTATGACATTGCTCTATTTGAAGCGACACACACTTTAAGAAACACTGCCAATATATATATATATGTGTGTGTAGATAGTTTAAACGCAGAAGGGGTGGCCATGGGGCCTGGGCTTTGGTTTTCTGTGTTTGTAGACAACTTTTCACAAATGCAATCAAAGCCACAAAAAACACAGAATAATTTGCAGTAAAAACAAAACAAAGTTAGAAAAAAAACATTGGACAAACAAAAAACAAAAAATATCAGCGACTCTTGGCTGGACCCCCCCTTTCCTCGAGACTTCCCAAGAATTGTTTTTTGTTCTTTGCTTTCCCAAGGTTTTTTGGTTTTCTGGTTCAGCATCTGAGCCTACTTCTCACCTCAAGGCATCTGTTCTTTCTTCTTACATCTGAAACCGTCTGAGCTCAACACTCCCTTTGTCCTTGTCCAAATCTCCATATACAAGTCTGAGTGCATTAACTGCTGACTGGTATCAATGTGGTTGCCACTGGCATTTCCAAACAGCTTGACATGCAATTGCAATGACACTCTGTCCTTTACATGAAACTGCTAGGAATCTTTGCAAGCTGTACTTGTAATTCTGTGCTTGTTGGTGTTGCTTCTGCTGTGTTATTTCAAAGTCTCCTCGATTGACGCATCCTGTCGCTCAAGCTTTTACATCTCCGTCATCTTCGTGTCTTCTTGGCTTTTCCTCTGTGTCCACATGGCTGATCTGGAATTGGGCGCCGGCGATGGCTTCAATCGCGATCTCGGCGGTCAAGACGGCGCCCTTACCTTCGCCGAAGCCTTTACATCTCATTCTAGTGTACTTTTAATTTCAATTCCAATTCCTTTCTAACTCAATTCTCATTTAGTTTTAAGCTGGTTCTACCTCAGTACAAGTTCAGTTCTATTCGATGTTTATTAAGTTCTACTTTAGCTCTAATTCAAATCTGATGGAATTCGACCTAATTCTATTTTAATTATAGTTTAGTTCGTTTAAGAAAACAAACGCTATAAAGCCCTATGTTTTACCGTGTTTTCTTGCCGTGGGAGTGCTGGGAACCAGATCAAACCTTTGCTTTGAGTAGATAGTTAGACTTGTTCAAAGTAATCCCTGTATAATCATTTCTATATTCAAATATGCTCTATGTACAAGCTTCTAATTCAACAGCTCCCCTCTAGATCTCTGGGAATGATCACTTCTATAATAAATATACAAAACTTATACAATGTTATGTTAAAAGCTATACAGATGTAAAACGTTTCTTTCAATAACTTTCCTTTAATGAAAACACACACGTCTGGAAAACTTACTTTCCCAGAGATCAAGAGGAAAGTTTTTAAAATGACAGCTTTTATCCGCAGAGATCTAGAAGAAAACTGTTGAACTAAGAGGTTTCTATAGAGCTTTGTAAATTTAAAAATGATTACCTGCAGAGATTTATAGGAAAGCTTTTGAAATAAACACCTCTATATGAAGCCTCCTAAATCTAAACATGATTATTAGTAGAGATCTAGAAGACAGCTTTTGAAATGAACATTTTCATAAAACAACTTTTAAATATAGAACATATTTTCCCAGAAATCTATATAGAGGAAAGCTTTATTTAACCAACCAATTGAATGACTGACTGCTGCTTTCAAAACAATTAGCCCAGCTGGAGACCCCAATAGCAAGATACAAACCGGGACAAAAAGAAAAATCTGGAAACAGCTGCTGTTTTCAACACCGAGACACCGTCACAACATGATTGGGACACCATCACAACATGACCGGGACACCATCACAAGGTGACAGGGACACCCGCATGACATGACGGGGACACCATCACAACATGACCGGGACACTATCACAACATGACCAGGGCACCATCAAAACATGACCGAGACACCGTCACAAC